CCCCCGCCGCTTTGCTCAGCGTCTCCCTGTTCTGCAGACCAGGGAGATGCTGAACAGAGCGGCGGAGCACCCGGCAGGACCCGCGCCGCTTCCAGCTGATCTGGAAGCGGCCGCGGGTCCGGCCCCCGGTGCTCCACCGCTTTGCTCCCGTCTCCCTGGTCTGCTGGCTCCGCCAGCAGACCAGGGAGACGGGGAGCAGCTTTTCTCGCCCCGGAGAAGGCGGGCGGCGGGACCAGGCGTCCCGCTGCTCTAGTTCTCCGGGGCGAGAAATCCCCATTCGTAACTGCGGATCCGACATAAGTCGGATCCGCATAACTCGGGGACTGCCTCTACTATGTTCCTGCATAATAAAATGCACAGTTCCTATAGAAAAAAACCAGTTCACTGACTGTTTAGTGGAAATATTTTTAACCACTATGGTTGGAAACAGAAGACAGGATATACTTTTATCAACAGTGTGAATGTTGTGCAGCTGCATCTATACTAACCTTTCATTAATGTCTCATTAAAGACCACTGTGCACTTTGTTTCTTAATGTTTTGAAAGCAGTTGATGCATGCCCCTTTAAATTCATCCGTCATAAATATCCTTTCCTTTTGACAATATGCTGTGAGTGTATTAGCTACCTAGAATAATATCTTTGTCATACTTGTGATTCTCATCCTAGACTAATGAAAGATTACTTATTCTGCACTCTTTTTTTCCCCCACAGAGTGGTGTTTTAATGAAATTGTTGATTAAAATTGTTTTTTGTTTTAATTTTGTCAGTTTTTGCCACAACAGTGGAATGTGCTCACAGCATGTAAACTTCCTTCGCATAGATTATTCACCACATTTCCACAAAGAAATGTTCTCTTAAAGTTGAACTGCATAGCCAAAATGAAAATAAGTCCTGTATGGATTTTTGTCTTTGAATGCATCTTCTGACCAGGCTGTATGGGCTGTTCAGCACTTCAAGTCTTCTTAAAGGGTTTCAGAACAGAAGGGGGATGGGGGGGGGGGGGGGGGAAGGGAGGAAAGAATACTCTTCCCCCATCTCCATCCTTCACTCCTCTGCCAATTTCTGTGGTTTTTACAGTTTTCAACATTTTTTTTTCTCTGTTCTTGAGTCTGAAAAATTCAGCCCAACAAAAAGGGAACTGCCTATATGCAGGAAAAACAGGGAACATGACTAACACAGTGTTGTCACATGCATAGTGTAAACAAATTTAAAAATACAGATTGGAGAAAAATATTTCTATATTTCATTTCCATTAATTTTAGGATTTAAAGGTAACATTTTCACAGAGAAATAAGATTTTTTTTTTTAAATAAGTTGTCTGTGTGCCTTTAGCTAGCCTTTTTATAACTGTATTTTTCCTCAATTAAATCTTTTTGGCACAATCTGGTTCACTGGCAATATCCCACATGTTTTCACGAATATCCAATGTCACATTGTAATCCATGGTATTTACTCTGTCATAGTTGTACATTCCGGGATACCTTCAGTGAACCAGGAAATGCCGCTGTGAGTTTGGATGGGGCTGGTAGGGACTGTATTATGGTGATGGCCACATCATAGTTTAGATCAGTAGGGAGTTTACTGTTTAATGGGAGTCTTAAATGTTTATATCTGGTTATCCAATAGAAATATAAAACCCTTTTTTCTGGGGAGGATCCAACGTTTGTGGAAAGTATTCAAAAAACATATATATATGAGAGAGAAAGAGAGAGAGAAGAGCTTTTGTGGGCAAAACCCACTTCTTCAGATGAGATGATATAACACGGCTACCCCTCTGAGATTTTTAAACAGATATATGTTTAACTCAGTTGTATTTTCAGTGCTGGACTTCTTTGACTAAAAACAAGTACTTAAATAAGTGGCAAAACATTACAGCTTTAATTAAATAACAAAATATACCTATTTTTGTATAGGAAAACTGTCCACTTCTCAGAGAAATGTCTGCTTTTGAAAGCATACCTAAGCAATAATACTGTATAATATCTTTGTGTAGGATTTATTTTCCTATTGCTGTGCACATGCAACATCAATGTTAATGGGAGATAATTTTGTCTGTACTAAGGATATTTGACTTCCATCATTAGTGATACTTTAAAAATTAATAATAAGATTTTGTTTTACACATTTTTTCTTACCTTGCTCCTACACACAGCCTGCACGTTGTGTATGAGTATCACTATTTAAATGTTGTTTTGAACAAGGTGTAGTTTGTGCTAATGGTGCTTTTACAATACCATATCTGAAAAATGTGTGCTAATTCAAACCATGTTTTCATTCTAATTGCTGTGATATTGAAAAGTAAAATTAAATAACTCGTATTATTGAACTGGACACTCTTAGAAACAGAAGCCCTGAATTTTCAATCTAGACTTCTATTTTGCAAATGTAATATTTTAATAATGAGTTATTTTGTTTTAAATATTGAAAGTTGCACATCCCTAAGTTGAATAGTTGTGTGGTCTTATTGCAAACAGTATACTTCCCACTTTTTGATTTTTTTTGTTCCCATTATTCACTGATATGCATAAAAGGAGGCCCCACTTCTGTAAAGGGGTCGTCTACATGTCCAGCCTGTAATGAAGTTTAGATTACTTTAGTAAGATTTTCTGTGGGAGGAAGGATCAGTGTGGATTTTTACTACTTATAATTTTACAGTTGTCATAGGTATTCTGCACAGAACATGCCCCTGCCTCAGACAGAGTACAGTAAATGATGAATTTAGCAGACAAGTGAAAAGGGAGGAAGGAGAAGGCTCAAGAAAAGACATAGATATGAATAATTGGTTATTTAAATTACACACGCGTATTATACTATTGAGATGTATATATGCCTGTTGGTTTTTGTTCAAGTAAGAATGAGGATTTTGCCATACTAGTTCATAACAGTGGTTCATTGACTCCAGTATCCTGTCTCTAAAAGTGAGCAATGCCACATGCTCTGGAGCAGTGGTCTCCAACCTTTTTACACCCAAGATCACTTTGTAAATGACAGACCAAGCCAAGATCTACCGCCCTGCCCTCTCTGTTCTCCTCCTCTCCATCACTTGCTATCCCCAATCCTTATACTGCTGCTTATTTTTTTATTATTATTATTATTATTCTGTAGGAAGAGGTTTTTCCAACATTTGGCCTGTCTACACTGGACCAAATGTCAGAAAAAACCCCCTTCTTTTGGAAGCCACCTTATTCCTTCTGGAAAGAGGAATATAGGGGTGACCAAAAGAGCCTGTTTGCTCTTCCACTAAAAAAGCGGAAGAACAAACGCAACCCTGGATGCAGAAGAGTTTTTCTGGGATATCTCCAGAATCCTGAAAAACTCCTGCAGTCTAGCTGGACCCTTGCTGTGTTGAGACAGGATGTGTAGGCTCTGGGGTGGGAATGAGAGATTTGGGTGTGGGAAGGGGTGAGAGGTGCAAGCTCTGGGAGGAAATCTGGATGCAGGAGGAGGTGGAGAAGGGGACACTGGCTCGGGGAGGGGGCTCCAGGCTGGACAGTGTTGGGATACTAACAATAGCAAGCTTCCCGGGCTGAGTGCAGGGCAGCCGGGTGGGAACAAAGAGAAGCGGCTTCCAGCCAGCTGGCCATGGTGCTCAGCCAGGGTGCACCATGCTCCATGTGGGCAGGCGCAGAGGGGAAGCTGGCTGGCCAGATGGCTGTGGCCTTCAGCCCAGAGGAGGCTGAACCACACTCCAGCTGATTGGGCGGCTTCCCCTCTGCGCCTGCTCATGTGGAGTTTGGTGCACCCTGGCTGAGCACCATGGCCAGCTGGCTGGGAAGTTGCTTCTCTTTGCTCCCGCCTGGCTGCCCTGCACTCAGCCCGGGAAGCTTGCTCCAGCACAGCTGGAGATAGACGCAGCCTCCCTGGGCTGAGCGCAGGGCAGCCGGGCTGGAGAGAAGAGAAGTGGCTGGGGGGGCGG